TGATATTTAAAAATCATTTGAAAAATCAAAGCCCCCCCTCAATAATAGCATTCCAAACAAAATTTAGCTTTTAAGATCATGACACTTAAACAAAATTGAATTCCAACAAAGAATAACAAACATGTTAGTAGCACATGAAATTCAATACATCCAAGTCTAAAATACTTTATGCAATATCAATTATTCAAATTAAGTGCATATGCATAAAGTTTTCCAAAAATGTTATACATTTGAAAATTTTGATATCAATTGTTAGAGAGATATCTTTTGCATTTTAAATCACATGCATAAACATTTAAATTTAGGTCAAAATTTAAAATTTATAAAATCAAAGTATTTGAAAAGTTGATATTAATTGTTAGAGAGATATCGTTTGCATTTAAAACTAATTTTGACCAAAATTTTATTATGATGAACTAAAAATTCTGAAAAATCATTAAAACTTTAAAATGTTCATCATAAAACATCTTTTCAACATACATGAGATTAAAACAATGCATAATCATTCAAAATCAAAACTCATGCATGCATAAATCCAAATGAGCAACCAAATAATCAAAAGCATTAAGTTTAGAGGTTACCCATTCATTTCTCATATGTGGGTAGAGCATCTTAAATATCACCACTTTTATCACCATTGCTCCCACACACCTAAAAGAGATATTTAAGTAGATTTTGGTATCCAAATTGCTTTGGATCCTTGAACATTAGTTTCTATGCCCCTTGTTCCTTTGGGAACCCATATTTGTTTAATTTTAAAACATTTTCTTTTCTTCAAAGGACAAGTATGTTCCTTATGACCATGAAAATGACAATGTGAGCATTTTGTAATTTCTAAACATAATAAGTTATTTTTAGAAATTAATTCTTTTTCTTTTGTTAAGCTTTCAAGCTTAACTCCTAACTCAAAATTTTTCTTTTCAAAATCATTTTTCAAAATTTCATTTTGATTTTCAAAATCAACTCTAGCTTTCAAAATTGATTTATTTTCAATTTTGAGTTTTGAAATTAATTTCGTATATTTGGAATTCATGGTCTCAAATCCCAAATACAACCTATTATAAGCATCTTGTAACTCATCAAAAGTAAATGAATTAAATTCATTTGAGTTAGAAGATACCTTGAATTCTTCTTGAGTGGTCATGAGGCATAGGTTGACTACTTCATCTTCATCATTGGAATCATCTTCATCGCTCCAAGATGCAACAAATGCCTTCTTCCCCTTTTTCTTTAGAAGAGGACAATCATACATGATATGCCCCTTTCTTTGATAATTGAAGCACACAAGGGGACTCTTCTTTTTGGTTGATTTATGTTTCACTTCCTTGAAAATCATGAATCTCTTGAGTTCCTTCAAGAGCTTGACCATCTCTTATTCTTATTCATCATCATCTTCATCCACCTCATCACTTGAATCTTGATAACTTTCATTGGTGGATTTGAAGACAATGCCTACCTCCTCATTCTTCTTATTCTCTACTCCAATCGTTGTACTTGCCGGTGGAGAGGAGTAATCGTCCATGATTGAGTTCCAAGCTCCTAGATTGTAGGATTGAATAAAGTACATCATCTTATTATTCCAATGTGCATAATTTGCTCCATTGAAGAATGGTGGCTTATTGATCGGTTGTGAATCCATAATAGGATATTCTTCAAGATAATAAGCACCGGAGGAAAAAGTCATTTCTTTGTCGGTTGCGTCTGAAATTGGTAGAGCTTCTTCGAGGATCGTCTCATGGTGGTTAAACCTTCTTAACGAGTTAAGCTCTGATGCTAATTGTTGGGATTTTCGGAAGCTCAAATTGATAACCGGAATTGCTTGTAAAAAGGGTCGGGATCGGTTTTTGTGTTTAGGGAGTAAGGAGATTGAAAGATAGAGAATTGCACCAGCGATTTAGAGTGGTTCGACTTATCAACCAAGTCTACATCCATTACCTTAGCTCCTCACCAAGGATTTTCCAACAAATTCACTAATTTGTTCTTTCTTTTGAGGACAAAGAGATAACCTTACAACTCTCTAGTTTTTCCGGGCTAAACTAGAACTTTTCCCTAACTTTTATACGAGATAATCTAGAACTTTTCCCCTTTACAAAAGGATAAAATATGTAAACAAGAAAACCTCTCTAAGGTATGTGTTTACAAGATTGAGCTCACAAGAACAAAATATTTACAAGAGAAAGATGAAATAAGAATGAAAAACTCTTCTCTTGTGTTTGATTGCTTGGATAGTTGTTCTCGTGCTTCTTCAAGTGTCCTTTGCTTGTATTTATAGCTTGGAATGTGTTTGATGTCGTATATAACCGTTGGGGATGTTTTGGGGTTGATTTTTCTACTAAAAAAGGCTGCCCATAACATGGTGCATCGGTGCACTATCAAGGTGCATCGATACCCCTTCATTAAATTCAAATAAGCTAGCCGTTGCAGTCTTGGTGCATGGATGCACAGCATGGTGCATCGATGCACTAATTGCATTCGAAATGGAGTGCATGGATGCACTACATGGTGCATCGATGCACTAGTAGCAGGTGCATGGATGCACTACAGGGTTGCATGCATTCAAATCCGAATTTAATGGACTTTGAATTATTTTTGAAACCTTTTTAAAACATTGAATAAATTCAATTCAAGTCCAAAAACATTTTTCCTTTAAATTTGTTATATCAAAACATAATTCAACATTTTATAATTTTATGACGTAAAAATGTTATTATTGTAAAAGTGTAATTATTTAAAATAATATTTAATTTCAACTTACTAAAAAAATAATCTTATAAATTAAAAAATATATTTGTTAACTTGAGGCCACACTATCATCTTTTTATTATATTATATTTTATATAAATAAATCGATACTTATGAAATTTATTTAAAAATATAAGTTTAATATATTTTTATAAATTTTTATTCAAATATTTATAATTTAATATTAAAGTTTAATTTGTTAAAAAATATATATCACAATTATAATTTGATAAAACATGAATTCAAGTCCTTCAATCAAACACTATAAATTTATATCTCTACTAAACAAACCAAACAAATTAATACAATTCATGAGGAATATTACATCCTTTTAATTTACTCTCATAAATAATCATACATTACGTGAATAACGGTAGCAACTCGATTATGCGAAAACCAAAAGATGCCTTTGAATGGACCTTTTAGGTAAAAAGCTGACCATGAATTTGGGGTCGTGGAATAATACTAATAATAAATAAATAAATGAAACAAAAAAATATAAAGAAAATTCTAATCCACAAATTAAATTAAAGACTAGATGAGATCTAAAAGTGGCGATTCCCCTTGAAAAAAAGAAGAATCTCAAGTTCTAGTGTCCAACAATGGTAAATAACCTTTGGATTAATTGATAAAAGCTCCTCTAAATTTTATCATTATTTTCAACTTGGTATCTATTTTTCAGAAAATACCCCTAAACTATTTTCTCATTATTCAAAATTAAAGTATAAGTTAGTTCGTTAGACAGTTTTATCTCTTTGTTATTGAAAAAAAAACTAAGTTAGTTTACAATTTTTTTTTTTAAAACAATCTCAATTTCCATAAATCTAAAATTAAAGTTTAAACGTAATCTAAACCTAAATTTTGTTTTGCACCATTGATCGTATTAATCAAAATTTAGCACGTGTTGTATTCTAAGTGGTTCATAGTTTTTAAACGATATTAGCGATTTGAAAAATGAGAATATAATTTTGTAGCACTTCTGATAAAAAGAAAATCTAGATACCAAATTAAGGAGCATAGTATAATTTACAGGGAAATTTATTAATTAAGCCATAACCCTTTTAATTATATTAAAATATTTTATTGATTAAAAACGTTGTGGCAAATAAAAATTATACACGTGTTTGAATCCCCATGGATGTATTATATAGGCTATGCACTCATATTCAACATTTGCTGGCACATAAGCCAAACGATCGATTATTGATAGATAATTCTGCTGTACAGTAGTGTAATATAAGATTAAGAAAAGATTTTATCAAAAATGTTAATATTATTTAATATTTTTAGTAGAGTGTTATCTAAAATATTTTTAATATCAATATTTTTTATAAAAAAAATTAATATTTTAAATAACAATTTATTAAAAATATTAAAAAATATTAATATTTACAATAACATCTTTTCTTAGACTTATATTAAAATCTTAATTTTTATGAGTCCTTGGGTTTAAGTTAATTTGACCAACTTCATGTGTTAATTTTGTAAGATTTTTTTTGTAAATACTGTATTGAAAGTTTTAAGAATAAGTTACTAATTTCAAATATAAATAATAAATGGATATAGATTACGTAAAAAAAACTTAAAATAATAATATCAAATTTTATGTATGAGTTTTTAATTTAACATATAATTTGATAGATAGGTGAACCTATCAAACGGTTTGAATGATTGAATGAGTATTATTCTCCTTAAAGATTATGGATTCGAGCAGTTATGTTTGTAGTGTGAGTATATATGCGTTGTCAATGACTAATTTTTTTTTGAATAGTACTCTCTTAAAATTATTCTAAATTATTAAAAATATATATATATAAATTTTTATTTGGTATAATAATAAATGAATTATATGACATATTTTAATTGATTGAACAAATTTATCAATTTTTAAATAAAAAAGTATGAAATCATTTAACGAATGATGCTTTAAATTTAAATTGGGCAGGAAAGATACTAAAGGATCACATGCGTGAAATGATGTATAAAAATTAATCGATGTAATAAATTAACTTTTTTTATATATAGTTCTTGTATTTTCTTTTGTCTATCTATTTATTTATTAAAAAAATTAAAACCAAAACCGTCCATGGAGAGATTCGAGTAATGTAAAAGGGTAAGTGAACTCGAAGAAATGGGCGAGTCATAGATTGAATATGTGAGGACTCGGAAGTGATTTTTTCAAGAGTTTTCTCAAAACCATGTAAAAAATCACAGTCTTCCAAATTTTCCATTTTCTTTTCCATTTTTAAGAGTTTTTCCTATTTTCAGATTCTATGTTCCCAAACAAAAGAAAAGAAGAAGAAAAACTTCTCTCTCACTCAACACTCGCATTATTTTATAAATTAATAAACAAATAATTCTCTGTACCCTCTGTCTCTATATATTCCATTTTGAGATCCCGACTCTTGCCTCCCTCCTCATTCTACCTCTCATTTATCATCTTCGACAGATAACGAAGAAGAAGAAATTCTCAGAAAAGGAGGAGGAAAAAGAATTTTGAGAGAGAAAGAAGGATCGAAAATGGGTTTGGTTCATCCAGAACTAAGCTTGGATTTTCGACCAACTTTTATACCAAAAAAGATCACTAATTTCTTCAAGGAAGTTTCACTGATCGGAAACGTTTCTGATAAGGCTTCGAAAGTCGATGCAATTTTGAAAGGGTTGGAAGAAGAAATGAAAAAGATCGATGCTTTTAAACGTGAACTTCCTCTTTGCATGCTTCTTTTGAATGATGGTTCGTTTCTTCAATCAATTTTAATCACCCAATTAATTGGCTCCCTTTTGAGCTCTTGATTTCGTTCTTTTCTTTAAAAAAAGAAATGTTTAGCCTCCAGCTTGGTTTAACTTGGGTTTTGCTCTTTTTTAAGTTTTATTGAACTTATCTAACGCAAAATCTGGGTTTTGTTTTTTATTGCAGCGATTGTAGCATTGAAAGAGGAGTCTCTGCAATGTATGGGGAGAAACGTTGAACCAATTTTAGAAGAATTCATTCCATTGAAGAACAAGGAGGAAAATGATCAGAGTGAAGAGGACGGTTCCTTAATCCCCACCAAAAAGGAAGAAGGCTCTAACAACAACAACTGCAACAATTATAAGGACAAGAAAAATTGGATGCGTTCAGTTCAGCTTTGGAATGCCGATGATGATGACACTCTAGTTAATACGGTACCTTGAAGAACACTGAAGACCCCATATTTGAGCTGAATGAGTCATTTACAACTGAAATTTAACAACTTTTTGCTTCATTTACAACAGATAAACCATGGAAATCCATGTAAAAACAGGGGAGGAGCTAGAACGTTTATGCCACTCAAGGCAAATTTGGGGTTTGCAGTGAGGAAAGAAGAAACGGGGATACCGGTTCCTGGTTTAACGCTTTTGACACCCGGAATCAAGAATCAGAAACAGGAATCAGATTCTACGGGATCAAGGACGAATTGTAGCAGAGCAGTTTCGTGTTCTGCAACCAACGCTCAATCGAATTTTCGGTCGGCACCGTTGGCAGTGCTCTCCAATCAGCAGCAGCAGGCTGGTAGGAAGCAAAGGCGGTGCTGGTCGCCCGAGTTGCATCGCAGGTTCGTCAATGCTTTGCAGCAGCTAGGAGGCTCTCAAGGTGAGAAATAAAAGACCAATTGGAAATGATCTTAGCTGGTTGCAATTTTAATTTTGCTGTTCTTGGATTGATTGTTCTTCTAGACCTGCTAGATAAGAATTATAAAGTTCGGTTAACGGGAAAGATCAGATGTGTTCGTTTATCACTCGATCTGGTTTCACTTCAAAGATGGAAAACATGGTTTAGAGTCCAACAAGGGTCTTTGGGAATGTGTATGACTTGTGCATGTATGATTAGTTTGGTTTGAGACCATGGATGATTAGATATGCTTATGTGAAATAGAATATCCTGTGGTATTAATCGATCCATTGGGAATCGGGATCATAGGATCGTAGTGTTCTTTTTAATTGCAAATCATTCTTTGATCGTTTTAGTTTCAAGTTTATGAGTCGAAGTTCTTTGAATATTTTTGCAGTGGCCACTCCAAAGCAGATTAGGGAACTTATGCAAGTAGATGGCTTGACAAATGATGAAGTTAAGAGTCATTTGCAGGTAAGGAGCTTACTTCTTAATCCCTCTTTCCATCTTTCGTAGTAATTCGATCTCTCCAAAGTAGTGAAAAGACATAGATCATGTGTTTATTAACATTTTGATTCGTATTCGATTTTTGATGTCGAATATTGATGCAAGAACTCTTGACTATCCAGAAATACCGACTACACACGCGAAGACTTCCAGCCACAACGACACAATCAGCCTTTGTTTTGGGAAGTGGTCGTGCATGGACATCCAAAGATCAGTACGGAGAATCCTCGAAAACGAGCAGCTTGCAGTCCGCTTCTCCACAAGGTCCTCTCCAGTTAGCCACGAACACCAGAGGGACCTTGACTACCGGAGGTGACAGCGTGGAAGACGATGAAGATGCAAAATCCGAGTGCTATAGCTGGAAAAGCCATGTTCGGAAACCCGGAAAAATTATTGCATTATTCTCATATCTTAATGCTATAATTTTCCCCCTATTACTTGAGCCATTACACTTGGTTTCAGAAATGCCTCAAATCTCCAAGAAATTTCATGTGGAAATAGTCTTCTTCTACCTATAATTTTTCAGTTGATTTAATTTGAAAAATTAGTGATTAACCATTATAATTCGGAACAGCTAATACAATCATGTGGGATTTTTTATTAGTCTAATGTGATTATAAGGTAATACCTGTTAGAAAGATCTACAATCATTTAATAATTAACACTTAAACACCCCTTAAATATCATGCTTGAACTTAAAATTTTTAAAGATAACAATCATCTTTTAACTACTGAGGTTGCTTGATTCATATAATCTCGAAAACTTCTAAAAATAACAATTATCCTTTAAAACGTTGAATCGTTATGTTCGTGCAGTCCCGTGACTCTTAAATCTGAATCAAAGTCGAATTATTTTCAATAACCATATTTTTATCATTTCACCTAACCCATGTCATATAGCACTAACAAAAGAAACCCATCAATTGTAATGTGTTCATAATTCAATTGGGAGCATGACAAAACAGTCGCCGTCGCAAGCAAAATAATGAAGAGAATCTTGTAGACAGGACAACATATAATTATGGAGCATGTGGAAATGATGAAAACTCCCCCTCCTTTTTAAAGGTTTCTCTCTCTCAATTAGATTCTAAAATTCAAATTCAAAGTTTGAAGAGGAAGATGATGATTGGTGAATATAAGATTAATATAAACAGCTAGCAATGGCTAAGCACATTTAAGTCTAACCCCACAAAAGAATGATGCATGCTGGTCAGTCTCTAAGATTATATATAATAAGGCATGAATATGATCATCAAAAGTATTTGGTGAAAACAAAGACACAATCAATATCCATCCAGCTACCACAATTATTTTTTTTTTCTTATGGTTTCAAAGCTTTGTCCTGATTAATTCAGACCGACCCGCGTCACACACTTGATTTTGGTGAGTCTCCCAATAAAGATTTTTTTGTATACACAAGATTCAAACTCTATATTTTACTTAAGCGATATCAAACTGCTTATCACTTTAATTAAATCAACCAATGTTGGTAATTATTATTCTTTTCTACTTTTTGTTTCATATCATCAATATTTGCCTTCTGTCTGTAGTGAAGCCAATAATACTTTAGTTCCGTCAATGATGAAAACCCCATTTTTTTTGGATGACCATATTGATGGTATTTGATAAATTGTTTGTTACTAATCAATCACCGAATAAAAATGATATTGTCAATTTATTTATTTTTTTATAATATTTAAATTATTTATATATTTTTATGTAAAAATTAGAGGATAATATTCACCTAAATACATTTAAATCCTTGAATAATTAAATGTTTGGCTTCAAATATTTTATAATGATAATAAAATCAGATCAAATTGACGAGTACCATTTAAAGTAATTGCGAATTGGCTGCTGGGTGTTACTTATTTATTATTTTAATCATATATTATGTTGTAAGTTAATAAGAGTTATGTAATGGTACAAAGACAAAAATAAGAAGGATGATAGATTTTGTTAATTTATATATATCATCCATTTTACAGGTCAAGTTATTCAACCAGTAGTTTCTTTGCTAACAAATTTGTTGTTTTAATTTATAAAATTGATGTCTTAGGTTATTATTTTTATTTAATTGTGTTTATATACTCTAGAATATTTTCATTTTTTTAATTTATAAAAATATTTGAATTTTTTTATTTCTGATCTATTCAACTGGCTGGTATGATAATTTTATTTAAAATATTGATCTTTAAGAATTTCTTTGATTAATTCAAATTGTGTGTTATGAAAATTTATTATGGAGGCAATCTTTTTTTATCTAATTTATTCGATTTATAATCGGGACTTAAACCCTCTCTCATATTTGGGCCAATATCGCAAAACCCTTATTTTTACCTCGGTTCCATTATTATTGTTTAAACGAGCTGAGTCGAGTCTAAGTTGTGTATTGTTGAGTTCAACTTAATTCAAAAACTTTGAAATTAAATGTGATTCGATTGAAAAAACTTGTGTGTTTAAACTTGTCAAGCTCAACTCGAACTCAAAATAAAAAATTAAAACTCAATTCGAGCTCGAACCTTAGTATATGAAAACTTATTTTATATATATTTTTAAAAGTAACGTATAAATGTTAATATTATTAATATTTTTATTAAAAAATATAAAAGTTAATATATTATTTCTTTCGAGTAGCTCGCGAGGTTTTTTAGTCGAGTATCAAGTAGCTCGCTTCGGTTCATTGAGAATTCGAGTTGAGTTCGAACTCGAATCTAGTTTATTCAATTCAAATATTGATTGAATTTTAACTAAATTAATTTTGAGTTGTTGGTAAAATAGACTGCTGAAAAAGAGGCGTTATCACTGACTGAAAAATATTAAATAAAATAATCAATCAGAATAATAACCGTGTCGTGGTAATCCACTGCCTTAGAAGCAAATTCGCCCCGATGTGTGTAATCGCTACAATGGACGAACAACCCCCTGAGGTTAACACGACTCTCCAAGAATTCGTACACCAAAAAACTGGAGTGAACTTGGTGGTATTGCTCTTCTCTCAACTCAAACAACACTCAAAAGAGATGAGTGTTTAAAAGAAAATGTTTGCTTAGGATATATCAAAGTGAATGAAATTGCCCTCTATTTATAGGTTAAATAGTGAGGGCAAAATAGTCACTTCCAAATCATAATTTAATTCTATTGAATATAGAATTAAAATCCTTTAAAAGACTGTTACAAATTGAGCATTACTAACATTCCCCCACTAATGCGAAAGAATTATTTCGTAAAGATGAGAGCAATGAAGTTAAAACATGAGAAGAGAAATATCGAGATTAGTTGCTTAAGCACTAGTGAATGTATTTGGAACTAGTACATAGTGATGATGAGCAATCCTTCTCTTAGATAAGTAAAACTAGTCTGGAACTTTCTAAGATGGGGGTAAACTCATAACACACAACTAACCCCTTCATCTACCAAAGTCCTCAATGTGTCTATAAAGAGTATATACAAAATCGTATATATGTTTAGCCCTCTTTCCTCAGGATTCTAATAAGTGTACTAGAAAAATGACCCAACGTTTTTTTATAGAAGGTGGCTAATCCTTCTCACTTACGTAGGTTATTTCATCAGGTCTATCTTAACATAAACCACTCAAACTGAGCTATGAAATAATTAAGAGATTTTATAATAACTCAACCTCACAAAGGGTATGGTGACTTTCTTCAAGTTCATTAAAAATGAACCATCCAAACTCCAGGATAAGAAATCATTAAGAATAAATATTCAACCTCATAATTTGATGAATTCAATATGTCATTCTCACTAGGAACTCCCAAACTCTTGGGTTTGAATTCATTAAGAGTTTAATAAAACTCATCCTCTCAAGCGGTAAGTTCATCTAGTAATATACGATTAGAACTACCCACTCAACTCTGGGTTATGAACTTATTAAGAATAGATATTCAGCCAAAATTGGTAAATTCATCAAGTCTTTCTCACTAAGACCACCCAAAGCATGGCTATGAATTTATTAAGAGCAATTAAGCTCATCCTGGGCAAGCACATTATTCATCATAGGGATAGTCAGTAGGAATGTGCACTATGAGTCTTTCCATGGTTTCGTTTGACCATATGAAACTTAGATAACTAAGTTGGGTATCCACCATGAATTCCTCAACCAATGGGCTTTAGGCCCATTCCCCTCGATAAATCGAGGACCAAGGATCTGCTAGGTTTCTTTCCGACTTCACATACTCTAAAGCGAGCACTCCATTCTTTATTAAGTGTCTAATTGATTCATGCATTATGCGTGTCTAACTGATTCATGCATTATGCGAATGTATCTTTTCTTACCATTGTACACATATTGTAGCTTGTGAATCACACAATAAAGAAATAGGAGGAGTCGATCTTCCCCACAATGGAATATCTGCTAACAAGCTTATGAGCCACTCGACTTCTTGCCTAGCTAGTTCAAGAGCTATAAACTCTGAGTCCATGGTAGAACAAGCAATACAAGTCTACTTTGATGATTTCCACCTAAAGTAAAAACATACCCGCTTGTAGAGCTTACCTCACCATTATCAGAAACCCAGTTGGGATCACAATATCCTTCCAGTACCGCAAGATAGCCAACAAACTCAAGTTTCTAATCTAAAGTACCCTTAAGATACTTTAGTAAGCGTCTAAGAGCAATCCATTATTCATAACTCGGATTATGAGTATATTTACTTAGTCTACTCACATCATAAAGAATATCAGGCCGAGTATAGTTCATTAAGAACATTATGCTTCTGATTAATTTATCATATTCAGTTTGGGAAACACTACTTCCTTTATTCTTAAAGACATATATGCTAGGGTCACAAGGGTTTGAACATGGATGACATCAAAACTGTCAAACTACTTTAACACTTTCTCAAGATAGTGTACTTGACTTAAAGAAAATCCCTTTTCAGTTTTGGTAATTTTGACTCCTAAGATTACATTGACTTCTCCCATATCCATTAACTCAAATTTAGTGGACAAGAAACTGTTTGTTTTGTTAATGGACTCAATGTTAGAACTGAAAATCAACATGTCATCAACATACAAAACTTATGATGATGCAATCAGTACCAAACATCCTCGAATACACATAAGCATCCTTGAATACATGTAAGCATCCGAACCATTCACAACAAAACCAAAACTAAGTATAGTTTTATGAAATTTCATGTACCATTGTTCCCATATAGATCTCCTCATCTAGATCTCTATACAGAAATACAGTCTTAACATTCTTTTGATGTACTTGCAACTTATGAATGGAGGCTAGTGCAAATAATGCACGAATCATTAAGATTTTCATAACGGGAGAGTAAGAATCAAAATAGTCTAAAACAAACTTTTGAGTGAACACTTTGACAACTAGCCTTGCCTTGTACCACTGGATCAAACCATCTAGTTTCATTTTCTTCCGGAAGATTCATTTGCTACAGATTGGTTTTAATCCTCTATGCAATCAACTAATTCCCAAGTATCATTAGACATTATTGATTCTAGTTCATCATTAATAGCGTTTTTCTAGAACTAG